GAAGGTACAATTCAAAGTTAATTTTGATGGAAGCATGACCTCGAATTACAATTACATACATCGTTCAGCCACCTGTGGGCCACAGATCCTTCGGTACTTAGCCGACCATACAGACGTACTGTATGGTTGGCTACGAGCCCCAATGCCACTTGCAGATGTCTGCAGACCCAGCAGATGTCCTACTTTAACAACTCCTAGAGGAAAATTGCTCTAGGATCCTCCATTTCAGCTAAAACCAGCTCATGTTACAAACTTTCAAGCCTTTAACGCTGCACAATGAGAATTGCCGTTTACATCATCTTTCAGCGGTCTGAAAGCACACATTGCAGACAGATCTGTATCTGTATAGTCGAATTACAGACACATCTTACACCACACTACAGCTGCGCAGATCCGTCTGCATTGCTTCAGACGGATCTGGCCCTCTCAACTCGCATAGGTAAGTCTTTGACTTACCAAAAGCACAGACAGATCTGCATCTGTACAAACATCAGACCCATCTGGCCATTCAGACGCATCTGGCACTCTCAGAAACAACCAGATGGATCTGGGTCAACTTTAGAGATTTGAAAATCCTTGATGTTAGACCGAGCAAGTATTTGGGTACATATTGACCTGTGTCTGCACCCAGTCACTCAAGCCCTCAATACGTTACGTGCTCTCAGGTCCTTTGCAATTACTAAATAGAACGTTGATACATTGTCAGATCCTACAAGATACATCCGATCTCATCAAGCTTCTCTCAGGTAGACTAATGACTTGAAACTGCTGATTTTCAACGCTAAGTGCCCTGATGCAAACTGCCAACTTGAGCACAATCGATTTTCCGAATGCTAAACATAACAAGGTGAGATGTTGTCATTCAAAGGATTGATTCCAAATACACACTTCCATATTCGAACAGCTCGCATCCTTACAAAAGTCAAAGTCTGATGTTGCAAATACCTGTCATCTCAGAAGAGGAGCGTGTGTATCTCAGATGAAGTTGAATACTTGTCATCAACAAAATTCACACAACTGATTAAACTCTTATGTGTAACTGTCGAAATCATAACATAACCTACTATATTTTTCAATATCAATATCAAAAGCAAAAGACTTTGCTTTGGTTAGTTGAGTTGAGGTGATTAACCTTACTCAGATCTCACTGTATAGTATAATCGTGGTGTCATTATAATCTGTGTTCATCACAAGGATCAATCGTCACATGTACATATCAAATGAGTGTGCTTGAAACAACTCAGAAGCTAAAATACTATCATATATTTCACAAAATAGAAAGTTGAACTAATCAATCTTATGTTGAATAATTGTAGAAAAATCTTTAGTTGACAAGATAGACTAAAGTAGATTGACTTGTGTTACAGAACTCAAAGTAATTTATGTTTGACGGATTGAACTAATTTAGATTTCCCATTCAAGACATCTCGCAAGCTGTATTATTATCAGTAGACAGGTTTGTAGATTCGATGTTACCACCAGCTGAGTTATTATCAGTATCCGATGGGTTTGTAACTTCGTTGTTACCACCAGTGGAGCTAATACCATTGTTAGACGGGTCTGTAGATTCAGTGTTACCACGAGCTGAGTTACTGGCAGGGTTAGACGATACAGGATTTGCTGGTGGGACCTGCTTCACTATCTTGAACTTCCCATTGATAAAGTCTTCGATCCAATGGCGTCGACCCAAAGTCTTCATGCCATCAAAGCCACGTATGAATTCGTCGTCGGTCATTGCTGAATCGGGACTACGCTCAAAGTTGACATTAATCTTGTTCTTCTTGAATGCGGCCACCGGATCAGGGCCTCGAGGAATTCCGTTTGGCGGCGCATGACCCAGCGCGTTCACTTCCCAAGTAAGCAATTATATACTATCAGTCGATAAGCTGTTCAGGATAGAGAGATAATGAGAAACAATTGACTGCTCACCTATGTTTAGAGAGATGAGATCTGTAAGCTGAGCCTTCTCAAGATCACACTTGTTTACGCGGCGTCGCTTTTGGACATCCGTCTCAGCATCTTCTTCAGCAGCCGCGGCGTCCACGTCCTCAATAGTGTCCAACTTCGATTGAGAGTAGATTGGGAATATCGACTGAAAGTTGTGACGCCTCTTCAACCACTTACTAATCTCGGGCCGAGTAGTTGCCTCTTCACACCAGTCAGGACCCAGAGTTTTGCTCGAGGCAATGATGTACAAATCGAAGTTTGTGAAAATGGCCTCCTGGTTTAGCTACAAAATACAAGCAGCAAGCAGTTAAAACAAACGAAATGAAGTC